CAGGGAACAGGTGAGCAGGCAGCTGCAGCCCTCCAGGTGTGGCCACAGGAACCTGGTGGTGGGTGACGAGTGTGGGCTTGGTTGGCTTGATATTGCTGAGGAAGAATGGGTAATTCTTGGTCATACATTGAATGTCCAGCTAGTGCGGAGGAAGAGATTGGAAATAATTCACGGCTGTGAGGCCTTGGTCCTTCGGTTCTAATTCTGTGTGCAAGACCTCTGGCTGGCCTTGCTGTTTAATTAAACAAATATCATCCTTATTTTTAAGACATTCCGACCTGTCCTAATTGAATCCTAGAATGGGAAGTAAGAAGACAAGGTACACCAGAGCCTATGATGGTCATGTGTTCCTGTCATTCTGGACTTGTGGTTCCCAGCTCTGCTACACAATGGAAATCTCTGGAGAATCTCTAGAAATCCTGGTGCCCAGACCACAGCCCAGAACCATTAAGTCAGGATCGCTGGGGTGGGTCCAGGTGGTTATGAGGCATGGCCAGGGCTGAAACTCACTGCTTTTGTCTCTCTAGTACAAGGACTGGCAGGGCAAGAGCTGGGGGCCTGTGGGCACGTGGCTGCTGATGAGATCTGGGGTCTGATGTTTCTGCTGCACTGTTGAAATGCAGCCTGGGCCAGTGAACGCAGCCGGTGGTAAGGAGCATGGAGTCTGAGCCATCTCCCACCCAGATGATCTCTGAGCCCCTCACACACTTTCACGCAGTAATGACGGGGTGGGTGGGGTGGGGCCTAGGAAGAAATGCTACAGAATAGGGCTGAGAACACGCTCTGCTCCAAGACATAGTTCCTTACATGCACAGACCTCAACACAAAAGGCACCATTTACAGCTCATTCACTTTATGGACCCCAGTTAAGTGATGAAGCTCTGTCTATATTGGGATTTTGATTACTGTGGGTTCCCAGAATGGAGGACATGCTACAGATACACCATTAAAAAAAAAATCACACCTTATGGTGTTGGGCCAGCTCTCACCACAGAGGCCACTTCCCTGCTAACAATTCCTTGGTGCTTGGGCGTTGATGAGGGACTTTAATGGATATTATCTGGGGGAGAATCAGAGCCTGGGCAAGGGAGGAATCTGTACATGACAGAGAGTGAGAGGGAAGCTTGGGGAGGTGACCTGCCCAGTGTCATGCAGAGTGGAGATGGCCTGGGAATTTCCGCCTTTTCCCTCCCAGTTCGGGGCTCTTTCTCTTTCCCTGGGAGGGTTTCTGAACACAGAAGAGAGCTGGAGGGTTTCTCCCAGTGGGCTGGAGGGCTGGGAGAGGCAGGACCTCTTCCTAACACCTCTTGGAGAAGACAGACTCATGGTTATGGGGGTCACACCACGGTTCCTTTCCAGATGGGAATACTTCCAAACTCAGCGATTAAGCAAGATTAAAAACAAAAAGGCCCTCTAGAAAGGGGTTAACCTCATTTCCTCAGTGTAAAAACTGTCCTTGGCAGTTGGAAACGGCAGAGTTGACTCCACGGATGACTGATGCCCCTTACGGGGGTTATATACCTGTCCACACGTGCCCCTGGCAGGGATTTAAACTTTCCATGCTGTTCCACGCATCCTAAATCAAGTAGATCCATCCTGGCCCTTGGTGAAGCCTAAGAGCTGGTGAGGCTTATGTTAAATTGCCCTCTCTGGGCTCCTGCTCCCGGGCTGACAGTCACAAATTCCCCTTAATGAGCACTCCTGAAGTAACCACGGCAGCGCTGTGTGCTAAATTAAGATTCGAGAGCCCAGGCAGGGAGACGGAGGTGTTTGCTTTGGCTGAGAAGGTGCCTGGGCCCCGGCCTGTGTGTTTGCCTGGGTGCCCTGATAAGTGGGCTGCATATTAAGTGCCGCATGGTGGGACCAGAACCATCTGCTGTATGTCCTGAGAGGTCACGCCTGCTGGCCCTTTGGGACCTGGTGGCAGAGGGACCCGGTGTCAACCTGTCTTTGGCTTCCTTTGTGGCCCTGTCACTGAAAAGCCAGAATGAATATTCTTCCTTTCGGAGTAAAAATTGAGCCGTGGAAGTTTTGTTTGCTTTGATGAATTATTTCCAGGCTGCTGTTGTTTGGAGAGCAAAGCGCCACAGCTGCAGGGTGGGTAGAGGCTGCGGTCACTCCCCTCCTGTCAATGCTGGTTCCTGTTCCTGAGGCTGAGAGAACTCCTGACAGCAGGGTGGGCACATCTTGGTAGTTGCAGCTTTTCAAGACAGTGTGGCCCAGTGGGGAGAGAGCAGAAAACCTGGGTTATGCTGGCTCTGCCATTTATGAGCTGTGTAACCTTGGGGAAGTGATTCAATCGCTGTGTGCCTCAGTTTCCTCACCTGTCAATAGGGGATCATAATCTTGGCCCTGCATGCCTTACAGGAGCATTAAGAGCATCAAATGAAACAATAAAAAATGAAAACATTTACAAATGGTAATTTGCCGTATATATTTTAATACAAGTGCCTGCCCTTCAATCCAGCTCTCTGCACTGCCTGGGGACAGTGTTAGCAGGAGGACCCCGCTCTGACAGGGACCCGGACTTCTGCCTCTTCTGTTTGGAGACAGATGATCACATCTCTCTTATATGTACAAAAGCTTAGTGAACATAAATTAAAGACATTGCTTGCTTGTAGGCTTCTCGAGGGGAGGAATGATGGTCGATTTCTATGGATTTGATACAGGGGAAGGGATATCCCAGCTCCAAAGGATCTCCTGCATATCCAAGCCTTCCTCCACTTGTGCCCCGGACACCGTCCCCTCTACTTTCTCAAGGAAGTTTTTCCTGCAGCTCTGCTCCCCTCTCCCACTGTAGCTTCAATTTCCCTCCTCTGCATGTTTCAGCACATGAGCAAGTCTTTACAGGACCCCTTTACAACACATGAAACATCCCTCTGGGCTCCTGCTTCCCTTCAGCTCCAGCTCCAGTTCTCTGCTCCTGTCAATGCTCAACCTCCTGGAGGAGTTGTATCTGCTCACTGCCTCAGCCTCTTTCCCTTCCATCTCTCGCCAGTCCCCTGGCTAAATAGCGCTTGTCCGTGACCACCCTGACATGCAAAATGACCTGCGGTCCACATTCCATCCTGCCACACTCTACTGGCCCGTCTCTCCTTGGAGCTTGTGCTTCTCCAGCTTGTGCCTGAGGCCGTACCCACTCATCTGCTGTTCCTCCTTGCACCCTGGCAGTGCCTTCTCAGCATTGCTGCTTCCTCTCTCTCTCTGCAACTGTTGGAGAGCCCCAGGGGGCTGTTCTCAGCAATTTGAATGCCTCCATCTCTGCTCTTCAGAGGACATTGTACTCAGTCCTGTGGCTTCAGACACCATCCAGACATGACGACTTGCCCATTTCTTTTTCTAGCTTAGACTTTCTCTCTGAGCTCCACTCATGCTCACCTGTCTACTCGTCACCTCCTCTTAGACGTCAAACATCATCTGAAACTTCAAACGGGGTAGCCAGAACTCTCCATCCCTCCAGATCCTGCCTCTGATGGCCATGCTTCCCTGCCTTTATCATTTAGCCATTCTCTTAGCTTCTCAGATCAAAAGCCCAGGAGGTGCCCTGACTCTCCTCTTTCTCTTGCATCTCACATTCAGTCTACTGGTGAGTCCAAGCCACAATCATCCCTTGCTGGCACTTTCATGGTAGCCTGGTAACTGGTCTGCCCTTGGCCCCTGCAATCTACACTACATATGACAAAGTGAGCTTTTTAAAGCATCAATCACATCATATCACTCCATGGTTAAAATTCTTCAGTGGGCTTCCACTGTACCCAGAATAAAATCCAAATCTCTTTCCTCTGTGCCTAAGGCTGGTGTGACTTGGTCCTTGTGCTCTTGCTCCCTGCCCTCCAGTCACTCTGGTCTCCTTCCCACCTTGTGGCCAAGAAACGCTTTCCCTTCAGACATCTCGCTTTCCACTCTGTCTGCTAGGACTGTGCATTCCCAGGACGTGGCGTGCCTGCTCCCTTCTCATGATGCAGCTGTCAGTTTAAAGTTCTCTTCTCAGGTGAGGCCTCCCCAACCTACCCAGCTAAAAGCAGTCTTCCCAGTTACTGTCTACCACATTACATAGCTTAGTTATTTCATAGCACTTATTAGCCCCTCAAACGATCTTACTTATTTGTTGATGTGTTCATTGTCTGTCTCCTTCCTCCCCCTAGAATGTCAGTTTCTCACCTGCTGGGCTCTGTCTTGTTCTCTGCTGTAGCCCCAGCACTAGTAGTAGCTGGCATAAGAAGGCACCCAACACATACAGTGTTTGCTGACTGATTGGCTGTTCATTACTGTTCAGTGCCTGATACACATCATCAGAGTATTTGGGGCATAGATGGGGACTTGGAGATCACTGAATCCAGTCTTCTTTTTTAGACAAGGAAACTGAGAATGAGACAAGATCGCAGCAGAGCTGGGCTGTCCCAGGCCTAAGAAAGGACCTGATAGTGGTGCTGAGGTTGCCGGTCCTGGTGGTGAAGAGAGGATAGTAAGGAAGCAGGCTGGCGGCCAAGCAAGGCGAGGACAGCAGGACCAAGGCCGGCTCTCAGCTGCGGTGCTCCATCCATGCACAAATCTCTTCCTGCCCCAACTGCACACGGTTGGTGGAGAAGCTGAGTGCAGGCCCCGCAGGGCAGGCATCAGTCATTATACATCCAATCTGCCGGCCGATACCATCACGGCGGGGGCGCCTTTCTGGCAATGTGAAGGCAATGTCAAGCCTGCCTAGTAGCCTTTGGGTTATGGGGAGGAGATGAAGACAAAACGCAGGCCTGGGGTAAGGGGCCCTGGGGCTTGCCCTGTGGGTGTGTGGGGGATGGAAGGCAGAAAGAGAAAAGGCCCATCCACCGCAGATGGGAGATGGGCAGCTGCCAAGAGGACGGGGCTGGGGGTGGAAGGGGCAGTGATGCAGGCCGAGAAGAGCCTTCTTCTCTTCCTGTTGTGTGACACGCCACACTTACTTCCTCTGTGATTGTTACGTGTCCTCGGGCCTGGGCCTTCGAGTAGTGTTTACACTTGCAGCTCTTTGGCAAGAAACACACTCTGAGAGGGGAGTGAGTCTTCGAGCCAGGGGTTCAACGAGTTACCAAAACATCGCTCAGCCCCTTCCTGTTTGTAGATGGCTGAGCGAAGGAGACAGCTGACTTCGGGGACAGAGAACAAAGGAGCTGAAGATCTGGAAGAGACAGAGGGCAAGTTCTGCCAAGAGGGGCAGGAGCACCTGGGCCGCCCACTCACTTGGGCCTGTCTTGGTGTCTCTGATGCTGCCCCTTGAGGCTTTCTCAAGAAGGAATCGGAGGCTGGGCACATGTGAGTGACTGGTAGGCCAGTCCTGTGGCTTCAGGAACATGCAGGAAACTCCCTACTCCCCTCCCACCTCACTGTGTGCTCCCCACAAGTGTTGGTGACCTGTGGCCCTGGAGGAGCCACCAAGGGAGGTGAACTTACATTGCTTCTGCAGAATGCTCTGTCTGGCTTTGATGAAGGCCAGGATGTCCGAGTCCGTCTGGCTGTCTCCGGTGAGAGGGATGGACGACATTGGCCTCTTGGGGATGCTGGGGGCAACCATGTGTCACATTTTACTACAGTTTACAACTGGACTCACCACTCGTCTTTCCAAAATGCTTTTCAATTTTTGGTGACTGATCTCACCCAGAAAGTTACATGACACAGCTGGCCTGCTTCTCACTCCCTCCTACCTTCTCTGTGTGGCAGCCACACTAAGCCTCTTGTCATGCAAATTGGGTCAAGTCACTCCCTGCCATAGACCCTGATATGGTTTGGCTGTGTCTGCACCCAAATCTCATCTTGAACTATAGTTCCCATAATTTCCATGTGTTGTGGGAGGGACCCGGTGGGAGATGACTGAATCATGAGGTGGCATCCCCTATACTGTTCTCATGGTAGTGAATAAGTCTCATGAGATCTGAAGGTTTCATAAGAGATTTCCCCTCTCACTTGGCTCTCATTCTCCCTTGGCTGCCACCATGTAAGACGTGCCTTTCACCATGATTGTGAGGCCTCCCCAGCGACATGAACTGTGAGTCCATTAAGCCTCTTTCTCTTTACAAATTGCCCAGTCTCAGGTATGTCTTTATCAGCAGTGTGAAAACAGACTAATACAGACCCTTTAGTGGTTTTTCACCACTCATAGAATAAAACTCAAACTCTGTCCCATGACCCACCAGGCTGTGTGTCATATGACCCCGATTCAGTAGCTCCAGCTGCCCCCTCTTCTTTCAGTGACTTGCATTTACCAAGCTGCATCCAACCTCAGGGCCTTTGCTCTGATGCTTCCTCTCCCTGGACTCCCCTTCCCCCAACCGTCACATGGCAGCTGCGCTTTCTCTCACTGCCTTCTCTATCCTCTCACCACCACCCCTCCTGTCCTCCCATCCCCGATTTACCCAAACCAGCACCCTTAACCTGGGGCCTGTCAACTTCTGTGCCCAGCTTAGATGTCATATCCTTCAGTATTGTATCCTCAGAGCATCCCCACTCCCCATGTGACTTAGCTAGTTGACCTCAAAGCAGAGATTACTATTCTCCTGTCTCTCCTTAAAAACAGAACCATATTTAGCTAAGTTGCCACAACTAAAAAAAAACAACCTTTCCCAGACTCCTTTGCTGTGATGTGTGGCCAGGTAGCCAGGTGATGGCCAATGAGATTTGTAAGTAGAAGTGTTGCGGGGCAATCTCCTTAGAAAGGGAGGGCTGTGTGTGTCCTCCCCCATCCCCTTTTCCATCCAGCTTCTCCATATAGCATTCCCCTTCAGCAAACTCAGAGCAGTACATTTGCCTGGTCTTGCCAACTTTCCGTCTGTCCTCACCCCTGTGCCTCTGCACAGCAGGAGGCGGTAGCCACTTCCTTAGAAGGCAGTAAGGATGGTATGTAACAAGGGGCTGGCCATTCCCACAGGTAGTTTTGGGTGTTGGCTTTCCAGCTGCAGCCCAGCTGGAAGTGCTAAAGCAGAGTCCAGGCAGGCAGGGCAGTGGCTGAGCTGGTGAGAGGCTGAGCAGCCATTCTAGTTGGAGGATACAAACACCCATGGTGCTGATCAACTCTGCTAAGCCTGGAAGCAAATGCTGCTGGGTCTTGAGGCCAGGCTTGTCAGCTCCATGCTCTGCTCTGTGGTGGGGCTGCCCTGGGCTGGCTCTTTCGCTTTCTGGCCCCCAGGTACATCTATTTACAAGAAGATATGAAGCAACTCTGCCCACACAGGGCCCTGGTGACTGTGGGTGAAAACCTCCCCGCTTTGAGTTGGCCTGTGTGAGAGACTCCAGGGAATTCCCAGAGGGCCAGGGCAGAGGCCAGACCTGGGCTCTGTCTGTGTGGCTACTAGATGAGGGGCTTTTTCAGGGAGTAGATTGGAGATGGAGGCCCACTCCGCCCACTGCAGGGGCTGTCACAGGCATTAAAGGAGAAGACCACAGACCTGTCTTCCAGTGGGGTGCTGGTGCTGCTCTGTTTCTGGCTGTGTGGACTGGGGCAAGGCGAGGGCAGGATTTTCCTGGCATTCACATCACTGCAAAACACAAACCAACAAAAGCAAAAGGAATGGGGGCAAATTTATAGAAGATAAATTCAGGGTTTGTATCTAGGAGCTGTTATGGACTGAATGCGTCCTCTCAAAATCCATATGTTGACACGCTAATTCCCAGTGTGATGGGGGGCCTTTGGGAGGTGATTAGATTTAGATGAGGTCCTGAGGGTGGGGCCCCTGCACTGGGATTAGTGTCCTTATAGGTATAAGAAGAGTATGAGAAACTACAGTGCATTCTCTCTCTCTCTCTCTCTCTCTGTGTGTCTCTCTTGGCTCACTGCAACTTCCACCTCCGAGTTCAAGCAATTCTTCTGCCTAAGCCTCCCAAGTAGCTGGGATTACAAGCGTGCACCACCACACCCGGCTAATTGCTTGTATTTTTAGTAAAGATGGGGTTTCACCATGTTGGCCAGACTGGTCTTGAACTCCTGACCTCAAGTGATCCACCCACCTTGGTCTCCCAAAGTGCTGAGAGAGACAGCACACAGCAAGAAGGAGGTACCAGCAAGTGAGGAAGGAGGCCCTCAGCAGGAACTGAATCTGCTGTGCTATGGACTGGAGGTTTGTGTCCCTGAAAAGTCAGGTGTTGAACCAAATCTCCAATGTAATGGTAGTACAGGTGGGGCCTTTGGGAGGTGATTAGGTCATGAAGGCAGAACTCTCGTGAATGGGATTAGAGTCCTTATAAAAGGGGCATCAGAGAGCTCCCTGGCCCCTACCACCATGTGAGAATGCATCGAGAAGACAGCTGTCTATGAACGAGGAAGGGGGTCCTCACCAGACATCGAATCTGCCAGTGCCTTGACCTTGGACTTCCCAGCCTCCAGAACTGTGAAAAATAAACATTTGTTGTTTGAGCCACTCGTTCTATAGTATTTTGTTATAACGCCTGAGCAGACTAAGACAAGAGCCAAGAATCCTGTCTTGGATGGTTTACACAGTAATTCTCTTTTTTTCTTTCTTTTTTGAGATGGAGTTTCACTCCTGTTGCCCAAGCTGGAGTTCAATGACGTGATACCCTGACCTCAGGTGATCCGCCCACCTTGGCCTCCCAAACTGCTGGGATTACAGGCGTGAGTCACTGTGCCTGGACTACACAGTAATTTTCATTGTTAGGGCATGCATCTGTTGGTTGTAGAAGCTGAACAAACGATGGCCACAACTGTTATTGATAGACATGCCAGGCTCTGTGAAAGTGCTCTGCAAACATCATGCCATTTAATCCTCTCAATGACCTAAGAGGTGGATGTCATCATCTCCATTTTATACATGAGAAAACAGGCTTAGAGAGATTAAAGAAATTCTAAGTTATCCAGCTGGTAAGTGGCAGAATCTGGAGCTACTCAGGATTCTTTGAGGCTCCAGAACCTGTGCTCTCAGCCACCATGCCTTCCAACTGCGCTTGACTCTGTGGCATACTGGGAACACACACTGGCCTACCCCTGACCGTGCTGCCTGCCCCTGGGACCCAGCTTCATGCTCTCTGAGTGAGAAGTCAGATCCAACTGCGCACTAGGTGCAGCTGTGCCTGTTCACCTAGGCCGCTGACATGTGCGCCTTGCCTCGGATTCCTGGCCCAGTGCGGTGGAACCCAGAAGCTCCTCTTGGGAGGTGCAGAGGCACGTGGACACGGCTGGTTGGAGGCCAGTGTATTCCACATGCCTGTGGCGACAAGGTCCCTACTCTAAGCTGTGCTGTAAGGAGATCTTCCTCGCTTCCTGCCTGGAGACAATGTCAGAGCTGGAAGAGGCCTAAGAAGTCACCTGAGTACAACCCTCCTTTTACACTCTGGGGACACTGGGGCTGAGAGGCAGGCTAGGGTTAGAGACAGGTGAGCTGGCTCCGCGGAGTCTGCATCTTCTGTGCAAGGTACTCCACAGACCTGACAAACCGCGGGTCTCATGGCCCCTTCCCCGGCTCGGGCCTTCCGCCTTGCGATCTCAGCCAATGGCAAGGCTGCTTCCATTGGTCACGACTGTGGTCAAACAAGCAGGAAAAGACATCGGAGCCTGGGGAAGCTCGCCTCACCCACCAGTGTCCATTTCCTAGCAGTGGAGAGACTTTCCACCAGGTGCCCTTCATGGTGGGAGAGCAGAAATCTCTGTGCTGGGTCTAGTGAGGACTGCTGCAGGACCAGAGGTAGCCACAAGGTGGCAAGCTCTGCACGCTTTTCTTTAGAGAACAGTGACCAATTCTCAAGGCTCCTGCAGAGTGGTTCCTGGTGCAGCCTGGAGAAGGGAAGGAGAAAGGGCTTTCCATCCTGCAAGCGCTTTCATTACAACGGGTCAAGGTCAGCTTGGAAGCTGTAGCAAATTTGCAAGACCAAGGCACTGGCACAAAAATGGCTCATTCACTCAATAGCTTCCCAGTGGAGCCATGGCTCAGGTTCCAGGGAGAGTTCACAGGTGCCAAACTATTGAAAGCTGGGAGGGGGTGGAAGAGGATGGAGAGATGGATGGGGCAGGGTAGAGGGCACGATCACACCGTGGCCAGTGGGGCCATCCAGTACCCTTTGCGGAGGCCCAGCTGCCCTGCCTGTTGCCTCAACAGCTCATGCAGGAGGGCAGTGGAATGGAAGGCTGGGGGCTCCCGAGGGAAATGACTCTTCAAACCCGTAAGCTGCTCAAGCGTCCTGTTCTTCGATGCCACAGCTTGGTTTCTGTAATTCTGGGGATGGTGCCATAAATGACCTCTGCCCTCGCCCTTTGCCCAACCAGCCTTTGACACTGATTTAATTTCTCATGTTGACGTCCCTCTGAAGAGAGAACATACCAGCCATCAGAATGAATTATCTTTCTTAAAAAGGATTAATAAGCCATATTAATAATAATTAGGCCTCCTGGCTTGCCAATCAGAGTGTTTAGTGGGATCAGCTTCCAGGGCCTGAGCATCCCTGGGGAAGTGATGAATCAGGTTTCTTTCAGAACCCGATGAGCAGAGGACCAGCGCCCTACCGCCCAGTTCCCCGCCTGCGGCTGTTCCACAGGAGCAGGCCGCTCTGGAGCTCAGGCAGCAACTGCCGCTGGGCCCTCGCTGTCTCACCTCGCGGCTCTGACCAGGCACTGGAATGTTTATCTGCTCACAGAGTGACTGTGTCGGAGGGACCTTTGCACATCTTACAGATGGGGCAAGGGAATCCCAAAGTGGGGAGCTGGCTTGTCCAAGGGTGTGCTGCTCGAAGGGGCCATGACTGGGATTCATGCTATTCAAATCTCAATAAAGGGAACTCGTTGGAGGAGGTCAATAATGACGTGACACATGCCTTTGAAGTCCAAGGTTCTTGACTGCAGGGTTAAGGGTCTCTAGGCAAGCACATCCAGGGAGCATCTTAAGTTGGAATACCTAAGGAATGTCCAGAAATGCCCAAGGCCAAGACAAGGTGGAAGGAGCACTATTCTGATGGGTGGCACAGCAGATGGTCCCTGGAGGCCTTGCTCAGGGGCTACTCCTTAGACCTATTCCACTGTGGACTCTCTCAGAGATGCCGGCAGATAAAGGCTGGCAGCGGCATGGATCAACAAACAAGCAGTAAAGAGGCAGCCCTGGCTGCAAGGGAGCATGACAAAGGGAATGAAGCAGAGAGGACGAAGAAAAGAAGAAGGGGGATGTAAGATAGGAATAGAGATAGGCAGAGCCGACAATGGAGGGAGAGATGGGAGAAGAGGGGAGTGGAGGAGGGAAGGAGGCAGGGAGAGGGCAGGGGGAGCAGTGGGCAGAAGGAAGAAAAGGCACTCGCCATGGAGTGTGAAGGTCTAGGTTTAATCTGTGGCTCTTTTTTTTTTGAGACGGAGTCTCGCTCTGTCTCCAGGCTGGAGTGCAGTGGTGCGATCTCAGCTCACTGCAACCTCCACCTCCCGGGTTCAAGCGATTCTCTTGCCTCAGCCTCCTGAGTAGCTGGGACGATAGGTGCGCACCACCATGGCTGGCTAATTTTTATATTTTTAGTAGGGATGAGATTTCACCATATTGGCCAAGGCTAGTCTCGAACTCCTGACCTCGTGATCCACCCGCCTTGGCCTCCCAAAGTGCTGGGATTACAGGCATAAGCCACCGTGCCTGGCCTAATCTGTGGCTCTTTATGTTATTAACTACAGAGTCAAAGCATCTCATTCCCTTTTGGGGCCTCAGTGTCCTCATTTGCAGAATGGGGAGGCTGAACTCAGGATTTCTCAGCTGAAATGGTGAGGGCCAGTCACAGGGAATTCTGGGTTTCCAGACCTTAGAAGGTTGGCCTTTTAAGGCAACACAGTTTTGCCCCTTAAAAATCATGGCCTCTTGCGAAAATCGGACGGTGTGGACACATTGGAGAGCGGATACCCCAGGCAGGAGGATCTGGTGGTGGGAAGCACATAAAGAAAGCACCTTGTACAAAATATTACAAAATGTGGGCTGGTAAGTGCCAACACCTAGTAGATAACATAGTGGACATGTGTCCCTAAAAGGCAGTCATTGATCCTAAACAAAACTGCTGTGAGGAATGCGGGGAGTGCACGACTCAGACAGGCCTGGGTCCACCACGGATTAGCTGGTGACCCTGGGCAAGCTACTTCATCTCTCTGAGCCTGCGTTTTTTCACATGTCAAGTGGGGGACCATGATAGGCACGTTGCTTGTGTGATTTGCACCTGGCCCATGAGGACCCTCTACGAAGGCTAGGGGATATCACTACCATCAGGCCAAGGCTGTCTCCCTTGGGAACGTAGGAGCACCACAGCGAATCCTCCGAGTGGGATGTGCACAGGGAATGTCTGAGATGCCCTGAGGGCCTGAGACAGGGTTCCCTACCCGCCTCACCCTGGCAGAGTTCTGTGAGCCCTTTACTACCAGCCACTAAAGCACGTGACAAGGATTTCTTTGTCAGAGGTGGAGCCCCTAGAGCTCTTCCTTTCCAATCTCTGGCGGGGTTACTTTTCCTCTCACCTGCCTAGTGTGACCATCCCATCCACGAATCCTGGCACTCCAACAACTGTTAGAGGAGGAAATATGGGGCAGCCAGCCACTGGAGTTGAGGTGTTTTAACAAACACCATTCAGGACACTCAGTGATCTCTTCCCAGGAATTAGAGCATCCAACCAGCACGCCAGCAGCCACCACAGGGGATGGGGCTGAACAGCCCTCTAGGGCTGCCTGAAAGCCATCTTCCCCAAGACCCTCCTGCCGGCAGTCACCAAAGGGGCTTGGGGTGGGGGTGGGGACTCTGGGAGCAGGATTTTGGGAAAAGCTCCTGTGGGTGATCTGATGCACACCTTTCAAATTCAAGGTTCTGAACACTAGGATTAAGCATTTTTTTTTGCAAGCATAATATATTTCTTTTCCTTTTTTTTTTTCTTTTTGAGACAGGGTCTCACTGCGTCACTCAGACAGAGTGCAGTGGTGCAGATCTTGGCTCACTACAGCCTTGACCTTCTGGGTTCAAAAGATCCTCCCATCTCAGCCTCCTGAGTAGCTGGGACTACAAGCATGTGTCACCATGCCTGGCTATGGATCTGTGGGGAGGGAAGGATGCTTTTCATGTTTTTTATAGAGATGGGGTTTCACCTTGTTGCCCAGGCTGGTCTTGAACTCCTGGCTCAAGTGATCCACCTGCCTTAGCCTCCCAAAGTGCTGGGATTACAGGCATGAACCACTGTCCCTGGCCAAGCATAGTATATTTCTATCTTGCATCTATCAGACCCCTTGCTGACACTCCTGGCGCTCTCTCTTTCTCTCTCTCTCTCACACACACACACACACACACGCGTGCGCACATGTACACACTCCAATGTCTTTGAAGTCAAAGGAAAAATGAGAGACAGGGCTTTCTATTCCCTGAGCAGGATACTGCTACTAG